TTTTTCGTTCAGATAGAGCGGGAGGGAGAGAGAAACAGCGACGGGAAAGGGACACATGGAGCAGGACCAACCAGGGCCGCGGACGACTGCAGCCGAGGTCCGTGCCCTTAGCGGAACCGAACCGGGTCTCTCGGTCCGCAGGCCGCCGCCCTGCCGCTGAGCCACAGGGCCAGGGCCTGGCCGTCCTCGCTGAAATGTGAGGCGAGTCCTTCATCAGGCTTGTGCTTGGACATCTTCCCCAGTTCACAGTCTGGCCTTTTATTTCCTCAGCAGTGTCCTTCAAAGAGCAGAGGTTCGACCTGACCCACCTGTTAGGTTCGACCTAATCCCAACCTGTCAGAGCAGCCGCCGAGTCCACACCGCGGTCCGCGCCCGCAGGCCCGTCCGAGGGGGGAAGGAAGGGCTGTGCAGGCCCGCGGCTCAGCCCCGCAGGCTCCCCGCGCCCCCTCCGAGGTGTGCGCCCCGCGCCCCGCGCCCCGCGCCCCGCTGGCAGGACACCCTCGGCCTCCGCCCCTCGCTCTCCGCGGGCAGGGAGCGGCCCTGGGCAGGGAGCTGGCTTGTGTCCCCGCCTGCTCAGCACGTGCTCATGCAAATGAGGACCCCACATCCTCCCGCTTGGTTGGTCCAAAAGGCACTTTCCTGATTGGTCAGACGGAGCTCCTCTGATTGGTCAGTGGTGGGGTAGCTGTGCTGCCCAAATCAGATGGGGAAAGCTTCAGTGCCCTTGGGTGAAGTGGGGTTCCGGGAACTGCTTGGTCAGGGCCAGCGCAGACCCCGAGACAGGGCGGCCTCCCGGGCAGAGGCGGGGTCCAGGGCCGGCTTCTCTGGGAGTGCGCACAGGCCCCTGCAGAAATGGTGCTAGGCTCTGTTTTTTAAAAATGTGAGCCCAGCCCTGGCCGGTTTGGCTCAGCAATTGGAGCGTCAGCCTGCAGACCAGAGAGTCCCGGGTTTGGTTCCCTCTAGGGGCACATACCAAAAAGAAAAAGAAAAATGTGGGCCCAGTTAGCCACCAGGAACCCTTCTGAGTAGCTCCTCTCTTTACCAGGTCCACACGAATTAACATCTGTATGTGGTGCGAGGTAAGGGTGGAGGGCTGTGTGTTCTGGCATATGTCTCATACATTTGTTCTCCCTCTCTCACGTTCTTTTGATCAGCATGCCTATCCTTATGTCTTGATTGCTTTAAATCTTTTTATAAGATGGTGTAAGTCTCCAACTTTGTTTTCCTACCAATTGTTTTGACTCCTTTCTGTCCTTTGTGTTTCAATATGAATTTTAGAATCAGTATATTATTGTCTGTTTAAAAAATGCTGTGATTTTGAGTATGATTGTTTGAATCTAGATCAGGTGGGGGAGAATTAACATCTATCTCAAGAGTAGAAGTCTTCTGATGCATAATCTCACTCTGTTTTTTGAGATTTTTTTTCTCTGAAAAGATTACAACATGAGAGAGACACATTGATTATTTGCCTCCGGCACATGCCCTGACCAGGGCCAGGGGTTGAACCTGCAATGTGGGTATGTGCCCCTGCCCGGGAATGGAGCCCACGACCCTTCAGGGCGCAGGCCATCGCTCTAACTGCTGCGGCACATGGGCCATGGCTGCTATCACTGTTTAATTTCTACAGAAGACAGTTGCTCTTTGTGTATTGATCTTGTATACCATTACCTTGTCAAACTTACCGGTTCTGCTAGGTTTTCTGTTATAGATTCCGTTGGAGTTTTTATATAGATGATCTTGTTATCTGTGTTTGAAGACCGCTGTGCTTCTTTCTTTTCAGTCTGTGGTGTTCCTACCTTCCTCTCGCTGACACAGTGACTAGGGTCTGCGAGTAGACCTGTGGACCTCCTCGCCTTGCCCTCCGTTCTAGGGGAAAGGCATTCAGTCTCCTACTGTTAAGTATGATGTTTTGTGTGTGTGTGTGTGTTTTTTATAGATGCCCTTCATCGGTTAGGAAAGTTACTTTGTCTTAGCTTGTGAGAGCCTTTATCAGTGATGGCTGTCGAATTTTTTAAATGCTGTTGCTGCTATTGAGATGATAAAATAGTTTTTCTTTTTCAGACCTGTGATCATGGTGAATTATATTGAGCTGGAATGTTGAGCCAAGCTTGCATTCCTGGGTTAAATCTCATTTAGTTATTTATTATTTTTTGTATATATTGATAGATTTGGTGTGCTAATGTTTTGATGAAAATTTTACGTCTCTGTTCATGAGGGATTTGGTTTTTCAGCTTGTAATGTCATTGCTTCGTTTGGTCAGGGTAATGTTGGCCTCGAGAAGGAGCTGGGTGTGTCATGTTTTCAGACAGGGTATGTGTAGGAAGTTGTTACCTTTTCCTGTAAAGGTTTGTGAGTTTACCAGCGAACTGTCACCTGAGCTTGGAGGTGGTGGTTTTTGTACGTGGGAATGTTTTTAACCAGCACTTGGTGTCACTACCCGAAGACATCTAATATTTTGACTTCTAACATCATAGACTAATTACTCAGTAACTTTCTTATTTTGGAATAATTTTAGCTTTACAGAAAAGTTACAAAAATAGTAAAGAGAGCATATTTCACACCTTGTTTTTCTCATTGTTAACATCACTATGGTACATTTGTCAAAACTAAGAAACTGACTTTGGTGTTAACTAAACTACTTTGAACTGGACTTTATGTGGGTCTCACCAGCTTTTCCATGATGCTCTTCCTGTTTCAGGACCCAGTCCAGGGTACCACGGTGCATTCGGTTTCCCCATCCCTTCTGGTTCATACCAGTTTCTCAGTTTTACTTTGTTTTTCATGATCCTCATAGCCTTGAGGAGTACTGGCCAGATATTTTTTAGACTATTCTGTAGTCTGAGTTTGCTGCTGGTTTCTCATTAGGATTATGCATTTTTTGAAAGAATACAACAGAGGCAGAGTGACCTTTCATGTCATTGTATCAGGGTCTGTGATGTCCACCTGATACCATGTGCCATCATATTAACTTTGACCCCTTGGCCAAGGTCATGTTTGCCAGGCTCCTCCACTCTGACATTGCTCTTTTTTCTGTCCATACCCTACTTTCTGGAAGCAGGTCACGTAAGTCCATGTCACACTAGGGGGGGAGGGGGGAGCGAGTATCTGCATGTGCGATGGAGTCCTTCTGTGGGAAAGATTTGTGTTTTTCTCTGTTTATTCATTTATTTATTCAGTTATTTACATCAGTATGAACCAGTGTATGTCTATTTTATACTTTGAGTTCTAATCCAGTGCTGTATTTTTATTTTGTTGCTCATATTTTTTGCAACCTAAGCATTGGAAATGCTCTCAGTGCACTTGCCCCATCCATCAGTTTTTTGAGCACTTTCTTAACTTTATCGGTGCTGCAGGTGCTCCAGGTTCATCCCGTATTTTCTTCACCCCTGTAGCAGGAGAAGCCTTGTACCAAGGAACCAGGATTCCTTTTCTTGAGGGATGATGTTTAGAAACCACAATGTGGGTTTTGGATATGCTCATTGTTATTAATGTGCTGTTCTTTGTAGGCCTTTTCGGGGGCAGCGTTAGGTCATGTATGTGTGCCTACCGACCATGTACCCACACATCTGCCACGTGTCTGTATCCATATGTATATATGCTAAGTGAAACATGCATTCCTATTGATGTCTCTGATTCTGCTCCAGGACCACAGGTGTCTGGTCCAGTCTCTCTCCGTTTGCACGTGACAGAGCTGGCTGATGGCGAGGGACCTGCCTCTGGCCACGGAGCCCTCTTCTTACCTGATCTATCCAGGGCGCCTGAAAAGCTGTGTCAGAGCCGCTGACTTACATATGCACGAGAAACATTTTCCCACTGAGTGTAGTGTCTGTTTTATTACTAATTGTACTTCCCAGTCAGGACATTGTTTCCTGAAGTTAGTCTGGTTGGCTTCTTCCCCTCCCCCTCCTTCAGTGCTGTTCTGTCATAAACTGTAAGCAGGTAGATTCATCTGTCACAGTCTGCTTTCATCTTGGAGTCTTCCAGGGTACGGTTGATGGGTTTCTGTTTGTTTCTGGCAGTTGTTTGGTCAGCATTCATGAAAGTTCGCTCTTTGTCATGTTCTCTGGGCTCTGACAGAGTCCAGTCCTGTGCCCGGCACCGCACCCCTAGGGCACACCCAGCAGGTCTTACATCTGGGGGTCCTCATGGCGTCGGCTGCTCTCCTCTCCCCAGGCCCCAGTCACTGCTGATCTGTGTTTTGTCGAATCCTTTTTCAATTTTGCATTTTTCTTTTTTTTATATTAAATTTAAAAAAATGTATTGACTTTTAGCGGGAGAGAGAGAGAAACATTGATTTGTTGCTCCTCTCAGTTAAGCATTCATTGGTGGCTTCAGTGTGTGCCCTGACCAGGGATCGAGCCCACAGCCTGGTGTCCTGGGATGACGCTTTAGCCAGCAGAGCTCTCTGGCCAGGCTGACTTTACGTTTTCCAGGGTGTTAATGTGAATGGAGCGACATGAAGGATCTGTGGATTCACAACAGCTTTCTTTACCATAGTGAGATGCATTTAAGGTTATCGATATTGTGTGAATTAATAGTTCATTTTTTTAATAGGTTTTTATTGTTTTTTAAAGAGAGAGAGGAAGGGGGAGAGAGAGATGAAAACATTGATGTCAGAGAAAAACATCGATTGGCTGCCTCCTGCACGCCCCTCACTGGGGATGGAGCCTGCAACCTGGGCATGTGCCCTGACCAGGAATCGAACCAGGACCTCTTAGTCCATGGACGACGCTCAGTCCACTGAGCCACACTGGTCAGGTGTATCTGCAGCTTTTGAAAAGAACGTGTGCACCTATAATGAAAGATATCCACAATACAGTTTAAAATATTTATTTATTTTTTTGCAGAAAAAAGACAATTATAAGGTATATTAATATGTATCTGTGTATGTGGTACATATATGCTAGAGTAGTGTTTCAAAGATTATTCTTTTTAAATTGTTAAAGAATATTCCATTTTATGGATGACTCATCATTTATCTATCTATCCCCCACTGACAGCCACCTCCGTCCCTCCCAGCCTCAGCAGTCTCGAGTGAAGCTGCTGGCAACACCCCGGACAGGTTTCTGTGTGGATGCAAGTTTCACATCGCTTGGCTGTGTACCTGAAAAGTGATTTCTGGGTCATGTGGTCATGTGATAAGTCATATCACGACTTCTCTGTTATCTGTTAACTACAAATTCAGTAAGTTAGTTCTTTAATATTGCCTAAGAGCATTGAAGTCATTTGTCTCTAGTTTAGAAAATCAACAAAATCTACCACCTATCTGTTTTTTATTCTTTTGTTTATTTTTTGCAAACTACATTTGCCTTTGTGTGGTTCCTTGGAAGCTGACTCGTCGCAGATCACTAACTACGGTTCATTTATGAATTCACTGAACCCTAGGCTGTAGTTTACGTGAGTGAAATGATTACTGGATTATAACTTAAAATTAGATACACTAAAATGTTTTAAGGATATGTTTTATAAAACCAAAGGAGATGTTTTATTACTACTAATATATTGATCCCAGAAATTACGTGTGTGCCTACTGCCAGGTTGGGTCGGTGCTCAGGAAAGGCCAGTGGAGGCTCAGTGAGTGGTCCCCTGGCAGAGCCGGGGCAGGGGCAGGGGCAGCAGGTGCGGCCGGCACATGGCAGGGCTTCCAGGGCTTGGCCTGAGGAGCATGTCTCTGTCCCTCCCTGTTCTGCTGCAGGCGGCAGGGGTGCTGGTTAGCAGAGTGCCAGCACCCCAGCACCTGGGGCATTGTTAGCATGGGAAGATTTGCAGGAGTCAAACACAGACTGACAGGGTAGCTCGAAGACATTTTAATCCTCCCAGCCCTGCTCACAGATGCAGTCAGGCTTACTGGGGCAGAGAGTGTTCCCCTCCTATTTTTATCTGCTTCTCCATTCCCACTTCCCCAAATTATTTTTGAAGGGGGTCACACTACCAACAAAAAGAGTCTCTTTTTTTTTCTTGTAAATATTGATTTATTTTGTTTATTTGGCTTTAGGGAAAGCAGCAGTAGCAACAACAAAATTTTAAGGTATTTGAGGACCTCTATTTTTGGTAAAGACACTGTTTTTCTAAAAATTACACCTTATTCAGGAAATTCTGACGACAATTAATATTTTGTGGCTCTCTAATTGGGTTTTAACAAGTGTTTTTGGTTTTGGGGGAGCTGTGTCTCGCTGTCTGAGAGACTGTCAGCCGAGTCTGCCGCCTTTCCCGCGCACGGGCTCCCGGGCAGTGCGTGGGTGCTGGCTCTGCCGCCCGTGCGCCTCAGGTGGGCTTCAGTGCTGGTGGGGGTGATGGGGTGGGAGAAGAGGTGGAGTTTTTTCATGTTACCCTCTTGTGGTCAGCAGTATCACCAGACACATGCCTTTCCGAGGATCTCAAGCGTCATGCGAAGGAACAGCCTGGGATTGTGAAGGGAGTGGTGCTTTGCTGGGGATTATTTTCCTCTGCTCCACAGAAATGAACCTTTGGAGCTTTTGCTTGTTTGCTGATTTGTCCAGTGATCCAGGTACTTCTTGTTTTCTCCATGGGGTGTGGAATGTAGCATAATGGTAGAAAAATAGCTTCGGTGAAAGGGATGTGCCTGTAACAGAGGAATAAAATGAGAAGGAAAAGGATATTTTTGCATTGCTTATTATTCTTACAATAGCTTTTAAGGTTTCTTCATGTTTTAAAAACCCAGTTTGACCTCGGGGAAGACAATTCCTAGTTTTGAAAACCTGTGCTTCCGTTGCTTAGCTTGAGAACAAAGGTTTTGATACCAGCATTGCAGGGACGTTTTTATTCAGAAGGGTAGGCAGCATTATCCCTCTTTTACCTTTTCAGAATCGGATGGACTTAACTTCTCCTGAACCTTAGTTAGGGACTTTGATTTGTTAGTCTGTAAATTGATTTAATCATCTGAAGCTTCAGGATGGTGGTTTTCCTTTTATACCCAAGGGACATGGGAAGGCATGTTGGGGGTAGGGAGTAGGGATTAGTCCTATAGCGGGGGAGGGGGATGTTTTTACAAAGCAATCTTCCTGACTGTTTTTTATTTGAGACTAAGTCGGACTGTAGAGTCATTTGGAAAAGGTAATATACGTGGCATCCACCCATTTGAATTACATTATCCTTTGTTCAGTTTGTGGTGATTTTGCTGCTGTCAGTCAGAATGATGCTGCACATGGGAAGAAGCTGCTGGGCTGCCGTGTGATGGCATTGCGGTTCACTCTGCTGTTTGTTTTGCACGCATATCTGAATGCAGGGGCAGCAGAGGCAGGAATGTGAGTGTGTTTAGTGCTAGAGACTTATCTGTCTAGAAAGATAGATCAGGAATGTTTTACGCACACTCTGAAGGTTTCAGCTAATTTGATGATCTCCATCTCAGTGATAGGAGTTATCAGAATAAACGTTTCAACATTTCTAAACCTGGTTGACCCCTCAGAATATTAACAAATGAATGAATGCTTATTTTGCATTTATATAGTATTTAGTACTTTAGATATATACAAGGTTTGTAGTCCAGTAGAAGATATAAAAAACTTATGACCATGATGTACTATTTTTGGTGCTGGTATACAAGTATTGGTTGTATGCTTAAGTACTGATATGTAAAATATGTAAACGATTTTTTTTTAATCCTCACCTGAGGACATTTTTTTCCATTTTTTGTACAGATAGAGTAGGAGGGAGAGAGAGGAAGAGAGAGAGAGAGAGAGAGAAACATCGGTGTGAAAGGGACACATAAAGTAGCTGCCACCCGCACGACCAACCAGGGCCGGGGACAAACTGCAACCGAAGTACGTGTCCTTAGTGGGAACCCAACCCCGGTCTCTCCGGACCGCAGGCCGCCGCTCTAATCGCTGAGCCAAACCTGCCAGGGCTGTAAAGGATTTTTAATCCTCCTACCAACCAAGGAACAAGCTCATCACCATCCCTTTCATAGATGATGGGACTTGTATTTTGACTGGCTGAGCAATTTGCCATAAGTAACAAAACCATGAGGTGTGCAGCCTCGGCCAGTCCAACTTAAAACTCTTTCCACTGTTTCCACGTCAACAGATTAAAAACATTTCAGCATAATTATTTGACAGCACAAAGAGTGATGCCAGTAGAGTGAACTGGAAGTAGTGATCTTAATCTCCGCCGAAACCTGAGTAGTTGAACGTTATCTGTGAATTGTGAGGGTTGGACTAGGTCACCTAGAGTTCAGTTCTAATATTACATGATTCTGTTCAGTATAGGAGGTTTTCATGTGTGGCTTATGGAAATAATCTCATTACTTTGGAGTTTTTATTATAAATTTACTTAGTTTTCATTCTTGATCCTTCATGCTCCGCTTCAGTGATTTTTTTTCTTTGGAAAAAAATAATCTATAATCTATATCACCTTTGAATATATTACAGTATACATTTATTTATTAAAATTATTATTCCCTGTTGTCTCCCTCTTTTCTTTTCCCCAAATATATTTAAAGGACCTAGACTAATCCCTGGCCATAAAGTATGCTGTTATAAATTCATGAATAATGTACTCATATAGCACATTAGCAAACTGTATAAGTAACTTTATACGTTTTAGTACTAGCAGATTCTTTTGGGGCTAAAATTATTCACTTTACTATTACAATGACCCTTTAAAGAACTAATTAGTGTCAGAATCTTGAAAAGAAGGAAACCTACGCAATAATTAAGTTTAGGCAACTATGCCTCGCTGGTGTGGCTCGGGATTGAGTATTGTGCCATACACCAAAAGGTCGCTGGTTTGGTTCCCGGTCAGGGCACATGCCTGGGTTGTGGGCTCGATCCCCAGTAGGTGGTGTGCAGGAGGCAGCCAATGGATGTTTCTCTCTCTCTCCCTCTCCTTTCCTCTCTCTCTCTCTCTCTCTCTCAAAAAAAAAAAAAAAAACATAAATAAATCAAAACGTATTAAAAAAAAGTTAGCCCTGGCCAGTGTGTTCCGTGGTTAGCGTGCCAGCCCTTGGACCAAAGGATGTCGGGTTTGATTCCTGGTAAAGGCCAGGTACTTGGACTGCAGATTTGATCCCTGGCCCTGGTCAGGGCACAAGTGGGAGGCAACCAGTCAGTGTCTCTCTCATATGGATGCCCACCACCACCACTCTTTTTAAGAATCAATGGAAAAAATATCTTTGGGTGAGGATTCACAAAAAAATCTTTTTTTAAAGTTTAGGCAAGTAAACTTAAGTTTGCTGGAATTTCCCCATACAAAATAATTGGTAGTATAGAACTTGATAACCATAGGTTTACCCAATATTCTACTTTAAAATACTTTTCCTGAAGCATTATTAGATGCTTTTTCCACATATACAAAGACAAACACAGTAGCAAAACTCCTATTTGGTTTATCTGTTAATTTAAGTATACTCTCAAATGCCATTTATAATGGATAGAAAATATTTAGACAATTGAATCTTGTACTTAAAAGATATTTAACAAAGTATAACATAATGTTTACTAGTAATTTTGGTTCCTTTGAGCATTAGACTTTTTGAGATTTTATCAGCTTTATTGAGGTATAATTGATACATAATAGATGATGTGTTTAAAGTATGCAATTTGATTGGTTTTGATATATGCATACAACTGGAAAGCTATTCAGTACAATCAAGATGATAAACATCCCACGCCCCTCCTCCCGCAAAGTTTCTTCTTACCTTTGGTAATTCTTCCCATCCGACCTTCTCCACCCATCCCCTGGTATCCACCAGTATTGTCATTATAGATTGGTTTGCATTTTCTTGAGTTTTATGTTATTGAAATCTTACAGTATGTGCTGTTTTTGTTTTGCTGTTTTTGTTCTTTCATTTTGCATCGTTATTTTAGGGTTTGTCCATGTTGTATGTACCAGTACTTCATACCTTTTTATCGCTAGTGATATTTCAGTATAAAGATTAGTGCCAGTTTAGTTGGTGATTCATCCATTGGTGGGCGTTTGGGTTGTTTCTAGCTTTGGATACTAAGACAAAGTTTTCTGTGGACATCCACATCTTTGAGTGGACATATGTTTTCATTTCACCCAGGAGTGGCATGGTTGGATCGTGTGATAGGAGTGCATTTCACTTTTTCAAAAACTGCCAAACTGCTTTTTGAAGTGGCTGTATTGTACTACATTCCCACCAGCACTATTCCAGTTACCCCACCTCTCACCCATACATGGTGTTATTAGCCTTTGTAATGTCCGCTGTTTTAGTAGGTGGTAATGGTATTGTTGTAGTTTTTATGTACATTTAATCTAATGATCAGTAATATTGAACATCTTTTCATGTGTTTATCGTCTATATGTATTCTTTCATGCATTGTCTGTTTAAATATTGTTTTTAAACACACTGTCTTTTTATTGTTGATTTGTAAGAGTTCATATGTATTCTGGATGTAAATCTTTTATTAGATAAATTATTTGGAAATATTTTATCCCAGTCTGCAACTTGTCCTTTCATTCTCTTAGTATTTTCCCTCTTTTTAATAAAAACAGATTTATTAAGCTATAGCTCACATTTTGAAGATCAGAAGTTTTAACTTTGAATTCCAATCTGTCAGTTTTTTCTTTCATAGATTATACATTTGGTATATTCAAGAAATATTTGCCCTGGCCAGTTTGGCTTGCGGGCCAGAGAGTCCCGAGTTCGGTTCCTGCTAAGGACACGTACCTCAGTTGCAGTTTGTCCCCGGCCCCGGTTGGGGTCCTGTGGGTGGCAACCACTCGATGTGTCTCTGTCACGTTGATGTTTCTCTCTCTCTTCCTCCCTCTCCCTCTGTCCCTCCCTCCCTCCCACTCTATCTGAAGATAAATGCAAAAAAACAAAAGAGAAAAATATTGCCTAACCAATATTTTCTCCTAGGTTTGCTTTTAGAAGTTTCATAGTTTTAACTTTACTCTTTTAGGCCTCTGATACATTTTGAAGTAATATTTTAATAGGGTATAAGGTATAGATTGAAGTATATTTTCTTTGTACCCAGATATCCCAGGACCGTTTGTTGAAAAGACTGTCTTTCTTCCACTGGACGGCCTCTGCGGCTTCGTCATACGTCAGCTGCCTGGGTACCTGGGTGTCTTCTGTGTGTCGATCTTTTTGTCTGTCTGGTGCCAGTACCGTGCTGTCTTGTCAGTCTTCCAACTTTGTTCTTCTTTTTCAAACTTGGTGGCTCGTGTATGTTCTTTGCGTTTTATGTGAACTTTAGAGTCAGTTTCTGAAGAAAAGCCTGTTGGGATTTTGCATGGTGTTGCCTTGAACCTGTAGATCAGTTTGTGCATAAATGTCATCTTGACAATACGGAGTTTTGCAATCCATGACACACCGCTCCGTTGATTCAGGGCTTAGTTCCTCTGAGCCATGTTTTCTAGTGTTCAGTTTTAGCGGTCTTAACGTCTTTCGCTAGATTTAACCTAAGTGTTTAGTATTTTAATGCTATCATAAATGGTATTGTCTTTTCAATTTCAGTTTCTAATTGTTCATTTCTCTTGTGTTTCAAAATTATAGTTGCTGTACAGGAAAATGAATTGTAGGATGTGCAAGAATAGAAGTGCAAGCCCAGTCAGCCACTGCCAGTCTGGGCTTGCGATGCACCAGGCGGCTGCTCTAGGCTGGCTCTGGCAGAGGTGGGAATGGGCCAATGGAGAGATGTGTTTACGATAGAACCGGTAGACTGCAGTGATGGATGTCAGCTCCGTGAAAACGGGGGGATTGATGTATTCTGTGTCTCAGCTCTTAGAGCAGTGCCTGGTGTTTGGTCACTGCTCAGCACTTGGTTGGATGGATGGAGCGTCGGATGTTTTGGATGTGAAGATTGAGGATGAGGAAGGTGTCAGGTAAGTGGATGAAAGTCTATTGATGTGGAGAAGCAGATTTTGAGAGGCAGAGTAAGAATTTAGTTTTGGATTTATTGAATTTGAGATGCCAGTGGGATATGTAAATGGATATGCCCAGATGGCAATTGGTTGGAGCTCAGAAGTCAGAGCAAGTCCATATGCCCATGCCTAATATCTGTTCTTTCATTAGACAGCTACCTATTGGGCACCACTCTGTGCCCAGTACTCTCCTGGGACTCAGCAGTGAACCAGGGATCCTGCCATCAAAGAGCTGACTTATTTATATTCCTTGAAGTTAGAGGTTGAGTGGGTGATATATCAAATTATAATTTTTTAGAAAGCATTTGTTTGTTGAGTACTGTGTGCAGAGAAGTACCATCTGAGGTATAGAAAGATACACAGTTAAGACAAAATCACTGTTGAGGTAACACTAGTGTTTCACTGGTTGCCAGTGGGGCTGGTGGCTTTGATTCAGGTACAGTTGACCCTTGAACCACTTGAGTGTGAACTGTGCAGGTCCACTTCTAGGCAGATTTTTTTTTTTTTTTCAATAAATATACAGTTGGGCCTCTGTATCCCCTGGTTTCACATTCTTGGATTCAACTAACCAGGGTGATTGAAACGGTATTTTTGTTTGATCCACGGTTGGGAATTCTTGGAGTGAGAGGGCTGACTGTCAGCATTGTTCTGCACTGTTTTATGTGAGGGACTTGAGCAAACACAGATTCTGGTGTTGGGGGGACTCTGGAACCAGTCCCCAGAGGTCAGAAGTCATACTAGAGTTTCAACTCAGAGGGGTTTTGTGCCCCTACCCCCCCCCATGTAATAAATATAGTTTACAGGTCAACTGTATTTATTAGTTTCTGTATAGTAATCAATCCAGGGCTTACCCTCAATCTTTTACCTTAGTTTCTACATTCCTGCATTTTTTATTTTGACTACATTCTTATTGGATGGATTTTGTCTTCAAGTATTTTTTTTTTTCCTTCTCGAAGAATGGCTTGTAGGTGCTATTTCTCTAACTAGTCTCTATGTCTCTATTTCCAGTATGTATAAAAACTTGGAGAAGAAATTTTAGACATTGTCTCACATTGGAGTCATATTTTCTGGTATATGAGATCTTATAGTGGAGAAATCTTGAGGCTGATTTAATCTTTCCCACTTGAACATGATTTTTTTTTTTCAATTTTATTTTTTTATTTATGTTACAGATGTTTCTCCTTATTTTCCCCGTTGACACCCTCCTCCTTATCCCCCCCCCCAACCTATCTCCGGTTTTGTTGTCCATGTCCATTGTTTATGCGTACATGCATATAAGTTCTGTGGTTTAGCTCCTCCCTCCCCCTACGACCCCCTTTTCCAAGGGTTGTCAGTCTGTACCCTACTTCCACGTCTCTGGATCTACCCTATTCCTCAGACTGTTATGTTCATTATACTCTGCAAATAAGTGAGATCATCTAGTTTTTTGTTTTTTTTTTTTGGCTTGGCTTGTTTCACCTAGGATAATACTTTCCAGGTCTCTCTATGTTGTCTCAAAGGATAAGAGATCTTTCTTTCTTACAGCTGCATAGTACTCCATTGTGTACATGTGCCACAGCTTTTTTATCCATTCGTCTACTGATGGACACTTGGGCTGTTTCCAGATCTTGGCTATTATAAATAGTGCTTCTATGAACATGGGGGTACGTGTATTCTTTCTGATTGGTGTTTCAGGCTTCTTAGGGTATATTCCTAGAAGTGGGATCACTGGGTCAAATGGAAGTTCAATTTTTAATTTTTTAAGGTAACACCATATAGTTTTCCACAGCGACTGCACCAGTCTGCATTCCCACCAGCAGTGTATTAGAGTCCCCTTTTATCCACACCCTCGCCAAAACTTGTTGTTTGATGATTTGTTGATGGCGGCCATTCTGACAGGTGTGAGGTGATACCTCATTGTTGTTTTAATTTGCATGTCTCTGATGATTAGTGTCGTTGAGCATTTCTTTATATGTCTCTTAGCCATTTGTATGTCCTATTTGGAGAGGGGCCTATTTAGTTCCTCTGCCCATTTTTAATTGGGTACTTTGTCTTCCTTTTGTTGAGCTGTATGAGCACTCTATATATTTTGGAAATTAACCCCTTATCTGATGTATCGTTGGCAATTATGTTCATTTTCTCCTTTGTTTCTGTTGCTTTAGGTGATGTATCAGTGAAAAGTCTATTGCATATGTTGTCCGAAATTTTGTTGCCTACATTTTCTTCTAGGATTTTTGTGGATTCACGGGTCACATTTAAGTCTTTTATCCATTTTGAGTTTATTTTTGTGTATGGTGCAGTTGATGGTCTAGTTTCATTTTTTTTGCATATAGCTGTCCAATTTTCCCAACACCATTTATTAAAGAGGCTGTCTTTATTCCATTGTATGCTCTTGCCTCCTTTGTCAAATATTAATTGAGCATAATGTCTTGGGTCCATTTCTGGGTTCTCTGTTCTGTTCCACTGGTCTGCATGCCTGCTCTTGTGCCAGTACCAGGCTGTTTTGGTTACAGTCGCTTTGTAGTATAACCTGATATCTGGTATTGTGATCCCACCTACTTTGTCCTTCTTTTTCAAGATTGCTGTGGCTATTCAAGGTCTTTTTTGATTCCATATGAACTTTTGAAGTATTTGTTCTACTTCTGTGAAGTATGTCGTTGATATTTTGATGGGGATTGCATTGAATCTGTAGATTGCTTTGGGTAATAGGGACATTTTAATGATGTTAATTCTTCCAATCTATGAACAAGATATGTGTTTCCACTTTTTTATATCTTCCTCTATTTCTTTTTTCAATGTCCTGTAGTTTTCTGCAAATAGGCCCTTTACTTTGGTTAAGTTTATTCCTAGGTATCTTAATTTTTTTGCCACAATGGTAAATGGGATTGTTTTTTCAGTTTCTCTTTCTGTGAGTTCATGATTGGTATATAAGAATGCTGTTGATTTCTTGACGTTAATTGTGTATCCTGCTACTTTGCCAAATACATTTATTAAGTCTAGTAGATGGAGGCTTTAGGGTTTTCTATGGACAATATCATGTCATGTGCAAATAACGACAGTTTAACTTCCTCCTTTCTCATTTGGATCCCTTTTATTTTTTTCTTCATGTCTGATTCCAGTACTATGTTAAATAAGAGTGGCGAAAGTGGGCATCTCTGTCTTGTTCCTGTTCTTAAGGGAAATGCTTTTAGTTTCTGCCCATTGAGTATGATGTTGGCTTTAGGTCTTTCATATATGGCCTTTATTATGTCGGGATATGATTTGCGAATATTGTACCAGCCATGCATCCCTGGGATGAATCCCACTTGGTCATGGTGAATAATTTTTTTGATGTATTTGAACATGATTTAAGTTTGTTTTTTGGTCTAGGTGTTTATATAGTTCTTTATTTTAAAATCTTAAATTTTCATATAACTTTAACAATGTATGTGTTAGTGTTTTGTGTCTGTTTATAGGGTACAGCATGCTCTTTCTGTCTTCAGATTCTAATTATTCTGTATTTTGTAAATAAAACTTTCTAGTGTATTTTAAATATTTTTTTTTATTCCTGTAAAGCATAATAATGATTAAGAACAAGGCTCTAGAACTATAAGGTCTGGGTTCACACCTCAGCTTCTCTGGTTACTGTTTGACCTTAGGCAAGTTCCTTAATCTTTCTGTGCCTTCGTTTCTTCATCTGTAATTCAGGGATAATAATAGTATATACTAAGAATTAAATGAGTTAATATATGTAATGCAGTTACATAGTTACTGGCGCATGTTACATGCACAGTAAGTGTTAGTTGTTAACTATTCTATTTTTCTATTACTTGCTGTTCATTTCTGTCAAAAGGCCTACGTTGGTCGTAGCAAAGTTCTCAAAGTCACAGGGTTCTCTTTGTTTGTGTTCTGGTGGCATTTGTTCTGTCCATCACTGTACCTCTACTGGTACCCTAGACCTAGGAATGTGTCAGCATTTTTTTTTTCTTTAATTTTATTTTCTTCTGCTTCTCTGGGTCTCTACAGAGTCCCCCACGCCCTTGTTCTAGCCATACACCTGGATATTGCCTTTCTAATTAAGGATAGTTGGATCTGCATTTCAGATCTGTGATCCTTATGTTTAGGGAAATCTGTTTTCTTCTCAAGTCTATTAAGCCTTTCTTGATATGTGTGGATCCAGAATTTAGTCGATCTGGCAGGTGTATTTTGTAGTCAGTGTGTTAAGGTTATAATCATGTCCTTTCCTGGAAGTTGAATTTCTTCTATTTTTTCTTTCAGTGTTGATGAAGGCTAGCAGCATACAATAGGTTTTGTTCTCTTTTATCTTGACCTGGAATGTAATGCACATTTATTAAAGTAGCAAAGGTTTGTGAGAAGCTGCCCTGAAGAAACACATCCAGGTGTGAGTCTTCGGTGTAGCTGGCAGCTGCCCATGTAGCAGGTGGCTATTAACTAAAGTCATTGAGTTTGGGATTTGGAGAGACAGATGTTGTGGGATTAGAAGTTCTTTGTAACCAACCTACATTGGTTTATCTTTACCTAGAACTATATAAACGATTTGAATACCTCTCTAGCTAAATATTTTGTATTTGTACCAGATTTAGTTTTCTGAGTCTCATTCATGTGACAACTTTTAATTATAAGAAAAACCTTACAAAGGGAAGATAACGTTTTGTGGTAACGCAGTATTCTAGAGGCTGAGAGGAGGGGCTCTAGGTAAGAGTGTGAGGGTTTGAATCAGAGGTTTTTTAATCTAGTTATATAACTTGTGTAAATTACTTAGCCTCTTGGAACTTCACATTTTTCTGCTATAAAATGAAACTAAAATAATATCTGTGTTTTAGAATGATTGTTAAAAATAAATTAACTGGCAATGGTATTACACACGTAAAAGTATTCAAATAACTTTTATATATTATTGTCATGATTTTAATTGTTCATCATTTATTACCATGGATAATGGAGACATATTTTGGATCAATCTGCCTGGCGTAATTTTTGAC